ATCCTGTTACATATTGCTTTGTGTGAAGAAGTTTAGGAAGCAAATCCCAGAAAAGCCGTAGAGTAAACCGCATGTTAACTGTGTTCAGTTACTTGCTGGCCTTGCTGGCTTCTGTACGTTACTGCTCAGAGTTCTCTGGAAGTTACTCGCTTAGGGCTTAATTTTTGTTACCCAAGAGCTGGTCGATAAACACATTGCGTGAGTTAAAATCAGTAGTATTGCCATTTTCATAAATCTGAAATATGGGCAGAAAATGTAAAACAGGGTACTTCATTGTTCTGTAAGAAAGGTCCCTGTGCAGGCTTGGATTGAAGTTATAAAGGGTGGGAGTTAAAAGGTCTGGTATCTTCATGCGCACTGGTGTAAATAAGCCAGAAAGGTTTGTGAGCCTATCTCTGCCTAGGTCAACACTGCTTCATTTCTGTTCCATCTTCCATACCTTTTGTTTAGCTGCTGCTGCTTATACTGCTTCTGGGAAAGCTATTCTGGGGAGCTGAACTGACAGAAAACTTGTATTTAGTAGGGTTAATGAAGTGCTAGTTCTGCTCCCTGAGCAAGGTTCACTTCGCAGTTGCATAAGGAACAGTTCTGGCAGGCTGGGATGGGGGCTGCATGACCAGAGGGGCAGCAGGGTTGCTTGCATCTGCCCTTATTTTAAAGCTCCACCAGTTAGGTACAATTGTAGCCTTGCTCACTAGATGGTGTGACTTAGTATAAAGTGAAGTTTGTATCTCTTAAACGGAAATTGTAGGACTGACTTTTCAGGTCTCATCTTTCTTGTTGATACATTGTTTTGCATGCTGTTGGTACTGTATAAATGTGATTTTATTTAGGTTGGTGCCTGCATTGTAAATTCAGAAAACAAGATTGTTGGAATTGGATATAATGGGATGCCTAATGGCTGCAGTGATGATGTATTACCCTGGACAAGAACAGCAGCACACAGGCTAGACACAAAATATCCTTATGGTAAGTCTTCTTGTGGTTGACAGGTTAGGTTTGTGGTGTCTGTAAGTTCAGCTGGTAAAACACAGATCAGGCTTTTTTCCACTCACATGATTTTTTAAAATGTACACATATGTGGTACCTCAGGATAAATATCACAGCTCTGAAAATGAATGAAATAGTCCTTACGAAGGACTGACTTCCTGGTGAAGTGTGTTTGTATATAAATAGCCGTTTTGGATTGTGTAAAATATAATGCAGCACATTAGCGCACAGTTGCAGTGTGTGCAGATGATTGCTGCTTCTGTGTGTTCGTCTCCACATTAATTACAGAGCTTATGTATAAGCAAAACAAATAATTGGGTCTAAAATACAGGTATTAAAATTGTAAACAGCAGTTGTGGGAAATTCCAGTGTTCAGGTATTGATGGCATAGGCAATTCATACTATGAACGAGCTGAATTTTGTTTGTCTTGAAGTATATGATTGCATTCTGTCATTCCATGCCATTTTTTGCCTCGTCTGGTGTGCAGTGGATCTACCCTGCTGTGGGTGAGGTGACTTTCATTGTTAATTTCAGCCTCTGGTTTCATTCACATATACTAAATGGACGAAAGAAATGAAGAGCAAGGATGGTTTCATGGTAATTGTGGCTGGCTGCTGCTTTGGATCCTGTGTTTTTCTTTGAAGCAGGTATAGTTGGGCCTTCCGAAAGGGTCCTCTGAGAATCTTGTGGACCTATCATCAGGGCCTTACAGTTACTCCCCTGGGCCGGGCGTGGATTGCAGGAACCAAGGAGATGACTTGCTGGGCTGCCTCAGGCTTTATGCCATGAGTGCTCTCTGCTGGGTGTGGAAATTGAGTTGAGAGGTGCCTTGTGGCCTGCAGTATCTGATGTTGGGGAGGAACTTTGTTAGGACTGAAGCGTATGTTCTCTTAAATCCCTCCTCTTCATCTTTCTACTTCTACACCAGCTCCTGCTGCAACTCTGTGGAGGGAGACTAATGCAGCAGAAGCCATAGGCACAGGAAAAATGGGTATTAGGAGGTCCTTCATGCTGGTGCTGCATCTCAGCCTGTCCTGGGCTCAGGAATGGCTGGGGGAAGAATCACAAAACTGAACAAAAGCCCTGAGAAATTTTCCCTTCTCCCTGCATGTGTACGGGGAAATGAGAATCAGAGTTCAGCTTTTGCAAAGAGATATTGACTCTTTTCCAGTGTACACTATTTGTGTCTGCCTATTAATTCTGTTTTTCACTTTTAACTTCTAACAATTGGTCTGATGCAGAGATAAGACTTGCATGAGTTTTGATGGTCCCTGTGTTCACCCAGATCTCACTCTAAAAATTGGCATTACATTTTCTGGTTTCCCATAGTGTTGAAGTGAAAGATGATATGCAGTGGCTCAGCCCCTAATTCATCAGTTTCATACATGAGTTCTTAAAACCCTGGTACTTTGTCCTTGTTCACTTTACCAATTTATTATGAAACCTCTAACGCTGACTCTTAAGCTTGAGACAGTTTCATATTCTTTTCCACAAGAGATGTATTCCTGACACTATGACCAGCTCCTGCTAAATTTTAAGAACACTCTAAAGCACAGAAGCACTGGTTTTACATGAAATGACAGTACCATAATGGTACATCTGGTGTAACTGCTCTTTACTTACAGGGTGACGAAAAAAATATTAACCCATTGATTAAACATAAAGTACAGAAAAGAGAATATTGATTTTGGTTGAATCTTTACACTGCTGTAAGGTCTCAGTTTTGAACTAACAGTGTGGGTCTCTGGGAGTTGAGCAAGTTCCAGGCACTCAAACCTAAGCTGACCAATTTAAACTGAAAATGCTGTATGAATTTATGAGGAATCTTTGTATAAGATGACCTGAGATAACGATGGTAATGTTGTTGTTAATTATGACACAGAAAGATGTGGAGTAAAGTAAAAATCTCCATTATGTGATATTTAAAAAATGCACTAACCAATCTAACAGGCTGGGAGATGAGTTTGTTTCTAGGAGTTGGTCTAACTACTGCTCTTCCCGCTCAAGAATCTTAAGTCTTCACCTCATTAAAAAAATCACAACTTTGTAACATAAAGTGTCTGCTGTGATGAATAAACAACCTATTTTGTAATTCACAGATCATTTAAACTCTAGCAGTTTCTTATTAATCTTGATAGCACAGTTGACAGACCAGACAAGTATATGTAAAAAAAAAAAAAAAAATCTTCTGCTTAAAAAAATTCTGGTAGATGCAGGAGACACATAGAATTGCTGCTAAAATCTCATTAAACTGTCATGTTTTCCGTTCGGCTTTTGCTAATCATCACAACGTTTGTGTAAATTGAACTTTTTATCCTTGCTTTTTCCTGAGTAGCTTGTTCAGAGAATGTACAAGCTTACTGTGTGCTCCATTAGCCTATGGGAATGCTGCACCTTCATCACTGGAGCTGCAGTGTAGCTTATTAGGTGAAGCTGATGGATATTGTTCCATCAGTTGTGATGGTACCACCACACTAACTTGGAAGATGTCTTCTAGAACTACTTCATGCATCTGCAGTGCTACAGAAAAGAGCTGGAGTGGGTCTGAATACTGACTTCTGGTTTTAAGTGCTGTTGTAGGTTAGACATAAACATTAGTCACTTCCCATCTCTTTCAGACCACTCTGACTAGCTTTCTCCAGAGCAAAGCCTGAGTATTGTTCTGCGAATGGCTCACTCAAAGACTGCTCCAGAGGGCAGGGTGGAAAAAAGGCTGCAAGAAAACTGTCATCCTGTATAGGCCTATAATGCAAAGCCTGCTGAGATGGTATGCTTAACCCTCCTCCCTCCCTCAAGCCATACTGGGGGATATG